TTCAACAATTTGCACCCACACAGAAGCATAAAATGTAAAGTACTGTTTGAGTACTAGTTATAGCATTAATTTACATTGTACAACACATTAAGGACAGAGATCCTACGTGGGAAGTAAGTGCACAGTGACTCCTGTTGTTGACTTAACAATTGACACTCTTGTTTATGGTGTCAGTAATCACCCTAGGCTCTTGTCATGGGTTGCCAATGATACCATATTTTTCATTTCTTTTTGTTTCAAGGATTTATTTATTTATTTGGAAGTCAGAATTACAGAGAGAGAAAGAGACAGATACAGAAAGAGGGAGCTTCCATCTGCAGTTCACTCCCCAGATGGCCATAATGACTAGGGGGCCCAAACACTTGGGCCATCTGCTGCTGCTTTTCCCACAGCATTAACAGGAGATTGGAAGTGGAGTAGTAGTGACACATACTGGTGCCCAGATTGGATGCTGGCATTGCAGGCAGTGGCTTTACCCACTCTGCCACAACACCAGCTCCATGTTTTTCATTTCTAACTTTCCATTTTCCCTTTTTATTTTTGTAGTATCCATATCTCTGCCAAAATTCCTCATATGCTTTTATATATTGTCTAGCTTTTCCATTAAATGCATTTATATTTTACTCTTTGCTATTTTTAAGCCCGTTTCATAATTCTAAAACCTAGAAATTTCTGCTTCTGGTCCATTTGATTCCTTTCTCTCTCAGTAATGACTCATATTTTCATGTTTCTGTGCATCTAATTTTTTAAAATTGTATTTTAGATATTGTTTGTGATAGAATAGTAGAGACTGAAAGTTGTATGTATATTCTTAAATGGACCTACTTACTTTGTCAGTTATTAGTGTTGGAGTTTGAGTCAATCTAGTTAGGGATTGGGCTCACTTTGATTTTTAACTTTTGATATTTTCAGTTTGCCACTGGCTCTCAAATTCCTCGAGTAGTAGGTTACCGTTACCTAGAGATTTGTGTGGGACCTGATGTGCCAAAGGATTTTTCTGTGCTCATATCCCACCATTGTCTTTCAGCATATTCTGCAATCCTAAGCCACAGAGGGTACTTCTGTCTAATCCCTTGATTCTTCCCCAGTGGTAGACTGCTATTCCTTATTAGCTGGATGAAAGAGTGGTTTGTTAGTTCTCCTGTTCTATTCTCAATATTAGGCTTTCTGTGTCATTCCCTTTCTTTTGGCTTCTCCTTTGTCTTCAGGGAGAGGCCTAAATCCTTTAGAGTGGAACACCAAACCCTTTGTGACCAGATCTCTGCCAGTCTCACCAGTTTGATCTTGTATTGTAATGACCTTTATATATCATATTTGATTGAATTCTAAATATTGAAGAAAAATATACTTTGTGAGGGCTGGCATCGTGGTGCAAGGGGTTAAACCGCTGACTCTGACACTGACCATATCAGAGTGCCAGGTCAAGTCGCAGCTGTTCTGCTTCAATCCAGCTTCCTGCCTGGGAAAGCAGGAGAAGATGACCCAGGTACTTGGATCACTGACACCCACATGGGAGACCATGTTGGAGTTCTAGGCTTCTGGCTTTGGCCTGGCCCACCCCTAGCTGTTATGGCCATTTGGGGAGTGAGTCAGCAGATGGAAGGTCTCTTTCTCTCTCCCTCCCTCTCCTTGCTCCCTCTCTCTGCTTTCCAAATAAATAAAAATAAATTTTTAAAAGTATGCTTTGTGAATTTTATTTCTCAGTTCCTAAAAGTCATCCTATGACCTCTGATGGGTATCTCTTTCTTGTAAGATGTGTTAGGATTTTGTTATTTTTGTTCTGCACATTTAAACATAATTAGTGGATTTATGTAAGCAATCTAGGTGTTTATGTAAGTCGGGAAAGAAAGATCCAACAAAATAAAATATTATTTATAAATTAGCTTGAATCATTCATTTTGTTACTCTTAGCTAATACTTAAGATTGGCAAAGACAATAAAATTAACTCCTCATCTTTATCTGCCAAATCTGTTGTGAGTAGAAGACAGGTATGTCATGTATTAGTTCAGCATTTCACTGCCAATGTGTCTAGGTTGGTGTGCCAGATACTAATTCTCTAAAGTGGCTTGTTTTCTGCCACCAATAGCATCCTCCTTTTGCCTGAGTATACTGTCCAAAAGTATTATTATTTTTAACATGGGCCCTGGCATGAGAAATGTTGAAAAGCACCAAACTGAAGAATTTTTTACATCCTTCCAAAAAAATATTGTGAGTATTCACAAGTTGGGAGTAAGGTAGTTGCAGGGTATTCTTAATAATTGTAACTAACAAATGGTTATTATATAACAAACGATCATGATGCACCAAGCACTTTGCTTAATGCTTTATTTGTGTTACTATTTCATGCTCATATCAATCTTCTGAGGCAACTGCATTCCTCTAAAACACTTACCCATTGTGATATGTATTTTAAGTGCTGGGGTTGGAAAATGAACTCAGGTGAAAAAGGCCAAGCTTTTAACTTATAATTTATTTCCTGAATTATTATTAATATTTTTATTATTTACTTAGAAATGGTTTTATTTTCCCTGAAATATTAAACTGATTGCTTCTGTCATGTTTTCCCTTTCCTTGCACTTTGATACTTGCTAATAGAAAATTATCTGTCATTGCTGCATTAATGGATTCTTCTGATAACAGATGAATTCTTGGAAAGTTGACGTATAATAATTTTTCTTCAAATATTAAAGGGGGAAAATTGGTGCTTGTGTAATTACCTGAGATTTTCTGAGAACTGAAGAAGGAATTGGAACCGAACAGTCATAGGTATTATCACATGACAGGCAAAGTATGTTGAATTATGCATGGTACACATTGGGACTATGACTGACATATTGATGAAGTAGTCAGCTTGGATCATGTAGTATTTCTTAATTCATTCATGAAGTGATAATGGTTATTATCAAAAACAGTGCCAGAAATTCCAGGGAGCAAGCAGATGTTGGAATTGTTTATTCGAGGAAAAAGTCAATGCTAAGGTAATTCCGAAAGCATCTTAAAGTCCTTGTGACCTTAAAGAGGATTCTGAATGTTGAATAATATCTTTTCATCACTTTTCTCATGGAGCAAGATGCTGAGCAACTCTCAGAACCCCAGAGCTGGAGATGTATCTTGCTAATGATTTGACATTGATATGAGGTGTAATGAATGATTTGCAATTTAGATATTTATATTTTTATTTCTATTCTAGGTTGGTGATGTAGTAGAAGTACAGGCAGATGAAACTTTTCCCTGTGATCTTATTCTTTTATCATCCTGCACCACTGATGGAACCTGTTATGTCACAACAGCCAGCCTTGATGGGGAATCCAATTGCAAGGTAATAGAGACTAAACCTTGCCTAAACATTTTGAGGTGAAGATACTTAAAATCATACAATATTGCTTTACACCATCCTCTAATCTTTTATACACTTTCCCTGTTCATGTAAGGTTTCTATTTGATGACAGCTGCAACATAATGTTCATTCTCTAAGTAAATACTCATCTTTGAGATGATAAGTATTTTAGGGTAGGGAAAAATGCGCTAAATTAAAGCTACCACAGTTCTTCTAACACTGCCTGACCATAATCCATTTAGTCTTTTATTTAGGCTTTTGAAAAGTCTGAGTAATTCGGACCAGCATTGTGGCTCAGAGGGTTAAGCTGCCTCTTTTGACACTGGCATCCCATATCAGTGTGGGTTCAAGTCTCGGCTATTCCACTTACTATCCAGGTCCCTGCTAATTCTCCTGGGAAAACAGCAGATGCTGACCCAAGTAATTAAGCCCCTGCAACCATGAGGGAGACCTGGGTGGAGCTCCCTGCTTCTGGCTTGGCTGGCCCAGCCCTGGCCATTGCAGACATTTGGGGAGTGAACCAGTAGGTGGAAAGTCAGTCAGTCAATCAATCTCTCTCTCTCTCTTTCTCTCTCTCTCTCTCTCTCTCTCTCTGTGTGTGTGTGTGTGTGATTCTGCTTTTCAAATGAATAAGTGAATTTTTTTTTTAAATATGGGAGTATTATAAGTATGTTAAGGTAAATTTGGTCAAAATGGGAAAAAATTACTTTCCTGATTCTTTCTGGCATAATTAGTACTTGGCTATTATCCAGAGCATGAATATGCATACTCTCTGTTTTGCCTTTAAGGAGTAATACCAATGTTCTCAACTTTGAGTTGATCCTTGGAGGGCTCTTCTGCTTATTTATTCCATCTGGTATTGAGAGATAGGACTTAGTGTATGGAAAAGGAATTTTACCTATTAGATGACTAATTTCTGTCTCTCAGGGACATCATGATGAACTAGTAGCATTTAAACTGATCAAAAACAAAATTATATTTTAGGGAATATCAAGATAAAAATTGTGAAATCCACCTGAAGATTGCTTAATAGTTTAAAGTTTTAGAAGAAGGGAACTCTCTGGTAGTTTCTTTTTTCCATTATGTTGATCTGATCAAATCAGCTAAAAGAACAAAGGTTTTAAAAAATCAGGAGACAGTTTTAAATATAGCTCAGGCAGTTCTGTAATATTCCCCAAAGAACATGGCAACAGCTTTGAGTCTGCATTAGCCCTTCTTTGATGATTTCTAAATGGGTTCACTAGAGCCTTCCTCTAGTTCTTGGTGAAACAAGTGTGTAATATACATTAGTAGAATAGTCTAACACAAGAGCCATCATATCCCTGCCCATCACACAAAATGTAGTCATGTTGAACATTTTCAAGGTAATTAAGACATTCATATAATGAAACTGTTAATGATTTTTTGCCATTGTTAAAATGTTACGATCTAAAGGATTATATTTAATGTGTAAGTGTCCACCTACCTTGCCATGTACTATAATGAGCAAAATATTGTCTCAATCTATAAATAGGAGAAAAATGTAAAATTGTCACGGGGGTTTTAGTTATCTATGCATGCTGCAAATAAAATCCGCTTAGCTGTCAGTATCAAGAAGAGCTTTCAGTTTTTGCATTATTTTTAAGGTCCACTTGCAACAGGGTTTTCTTTCTAATTATTTGTAATATAGTTGAAGAATACCATAAAACTTATTTGTTAAAATGTATGTCATAATTTATATAATTCTGCCAAAGCCTCTTATTAAAATGTACTTCATAATTGGAATCAAGTGAACATATGGTTATTCTATACTTTTTTGTTTTTGTTTTATTTTGTGCTTTAATCTAGACACATTATGCAGTACGGGATACCATTACACTGTGTACAGCTGAATCCATTGATACCCTCCGAGCAGCAATTGAGTGTGAACAGCCTCAACCTGACCTCTACAAGTAATAATCACTTGATTTCACTTTACTGCAGTCTGTTGGCTCTGCTTCTTTTTTTGCCATCAGTGTTGCAAAGAAACAACTACCACTTACCAACCTATTCTCATGTATGTTTTTATGAGCTATTCCTTCTTTCTGTCAGGGAAAAGAATCAAATCAGCCTTAGATAAATCACTGACTGTGGGACCAAGCATCCTCTGATTTTTCTTTTACTTTCGTTGCTTGTAAACTTAACCATCTGACTAATGCAGTAACCAAATTTAATTAAAACAAAAATAAACCCTTTAATGTGCCATACAACATTCAAGAGAAAATAGAATATGGGGGTCTGTGCAGTTAATAACCCCTGTATATTTCCTTAGAGTGATCATGATGAACTGAGGATTACAAATAGGCTGTTACTTGTCCACAGTAAACAGTTGATACAGCATTAAAATGGTATAATTTAGGCTCTCTGGAGTACATTGGCTAATTGACAGTCATTGTGGATTGTCAGAAACATGACAATTGATTTTTAATACTGGTTAGTTTCGTTGGTTAGAGCATAGTGCTGATGAAGGTAGAGTAGTAGCTTTATCCTCATGTGAGCCAGTTGTATTCTGTCTCACTCTTACACATGACATTTATTACCGATGCCAGCCCTCTTATTAATGCATGGATTTGGTCATAGTAGGGGATCAAGTAGTTGGATGTGGTTTATACTAGCACCTAGTAGTGGGAAAATAAAGTATTCATATCACATTGAGAATAATTCTCTCCCTCCTTCCATCATTCCTTCTTGCTTCTGTTGCTTCCTTTCTGTGTTCTCACTGATATTAGGAACTAGGACCATAAAGTAAAGCAGCTATTCTTTGCCTTCAAGGAGCTGTCAGTGAGCAGAAGAGATAGTTAGCTAAAGAGAGAAAATTTTAACCTAAGATTTCAATACAGTGTGATAATGAAGGTGAGTACAAGGTCCATGGAATCGCAGAAAGAGGAATGATTTATTCCTGAAATATATACATATATATATACACACACACACATACATACATACACACACACACACACATGCACACACACATATACCCTTGTATGTTTATAATGAAACACTCAAGTTTTTAATACTGTAATTATGAAAGAAATTTAGGGAAGGGACGATTATTCCTTATTTTCCTAAACTGGATTCAATCCCTTGCTGTATGATTTCAGAATACCTTGTACTTCTACCACCCTGCTGATAATCACTTGGATTGTTTGCTTGTCTTTCTTATGGCAAGAAACATGTCTGTTTTGCTTGCTATCTATCTTTGCATCTAGTACAATATTGGCATAATTAGTATATAATGAATGAATAAACAGACCTTGTATATTATACTTATTTTTCTGAAAAGAAAACACTATTCATGTTACAGAAAACATGACTTTTTTTAAGGAGGAGTAAGGCCTTTTTACCTCATTATTTTCACAAATTCAGGCTACCATGTAAATATTAAGTAACTGTCAAGCTCAATGTTGAGATCGGCTCCAAGACAAGCTAGACATTTCCAAAATGGTAATCAATGTTCACTGTCTAAGATTAATGCCATGGTTTAAAGGATAGTCCTAGGCCCAGTGTCACCGGGGGAACCTGAGTCAGAAGCTCAGAGTTGGATCTCACCAATCTGGTTTAATAAGCCCTCCAGTGCTTCTGATGCATGCTCAAATATAAGAAATACTGTTCTTAAGATTTTGCAAGTTGTATTTTAGCACCAAAAACTTTTGTCACATGAATCTAAAGCAGAGTAGTGTTGTATGCATGCATAATGCCAAGTAGAGCTTAAAAATAAATTTAGAATCTTTGCATTCTAATAATCCAAATCCCTGATATTCTTTTTAAAACTAGGTAAAAACATCTTACACTTTATTTTTTTCAATGTTTTGTTCATTATTTTAGAATTCTGTAGTTTCTTCAGACTCTAATATATCTCTTTTGTATTCTTTATATTTTGATTCATTTCAATATTCATAAGTATATGAGTTTTGCCATGATTTAGCAAGTACATTTGATATTATGTTCTTTTTGCAGATTTGTTGGACGAATCAATATCTATAGTAACAGTCTTGAGGCTGTTGCGAGGTTAGTTTGTTATTTCTTTAATCTGTCCTTTGTGGGGAAGGTATATTTCTCTTTTAAACCCACTAATATAGCCAAACACCTTTTTTTTTTTTTTTGGACAGGCAGAGTTAGACAGTGAGAGAGAGAGACAGAGAGAAAGGTCTTCCTTCCATTGGTTCACCCCCCAAATGGCTGTTATGGCCAGCGCTGCGCCAATCCGAAGCCAGGAGCCAGGTGCTTCCTCCTGGTCTCCCAGGCAGGTGCAGGGCCCAAGCACTTGGGCCATCCTCCACTGCCTTCCTGGGCCACAGCAGAGAGCTGGACTGGAAGAGGAGCAGCCGAGACAGAATCCGGCACCCCAACCAGGACTAGAACCCGGGGTGCTGGCGCCGCAGGCGGAGGATTAGCCAAGTGAGCTGCGGCACCAGCCGCCAAATACCTTTCTTATAGAAAGGAATATAGAAACGAATAAGTAACTAACCTTGTGATTGGTAGGGTTTCTATGTTGTGGGGAGGGTTGGAAAGTAATGCTTAGGGTTACAGAGCAGCTGAGCTCCAGACAAAATCTGGAGTTTCCAAATCTGTTCTCTGACTATATTTTCTTGGTTGCACAATGGTAGACAATATTGGAAATATATTTGGAGAAGAGTGACTTAGGATAAAGTAATCGAGGGACTAGGCAGTAGATAAAATGCTAGAGTTACATGGACTTAAAATAATGAAGGCTAATCATTTATAATAAGGAAATTTATCCAGAAAATGATGCTTTCTTTCATCTTCTGTCATCTAGGCAATTACCTCAACATTTTCACTTGGTCTTTATAGCCACACACAAAAATAAGTTAGAGAAATGCAGGGTTGGGGTAGGTATTGTTGGCATAGAGGGTTAAGACACCCCTTGGGCTGCCCACATCCTGTATCGGAGTGCTAACTCAAGTCCTGGTTCCTCTACTTCTCATCCAGCTTCCTGCTAATGCATCCTTGGAGGCAGCAAATGGCTGAAATGTGTGGGCTCCTGCCACCCATGTGGTAGATCCAGAAGGAGTTCGGTGCTCCTGGCTTTGGCCTGGCCCAGCCCTGGCTGTTGCAGGCATTTGGGGAGTAACACAGCAAATGAAAAATCAATCAGGATCTCTCTCTCTCTCTCTCTCTCTCTCTCTCTCTCTCTCATAGATTAAAATAAAGAAATAAACATTAAAATTCAGGGTTCCCAAAAGGCAGGTTTACTCTATATAAAAATGACTTTTGCCTTCCTGATCTTTTATGTGTGATCTTCTGTTTCTGTTTCTTGCTGTGTATTGTTCTGTCCTGTTCTTGTCTTCTGTCTGTGATGCATAACCATTTGGTCCCTCTGTGTATTTCTTTAACTCTGTGTGTTGTTGGCTATTCCTGTGCTATGCTTCCATCTGTTCAGTACCCTCAAGTCCCTTCAGAGGGAGGGCTCTTTCAGCTTACCCTTGAGAGCAAGTATATGGTAAAAGTATAAAAATAAATTCTGTACCCCTTGAAGTGTCAGAGTAAAATCTTTCCCCAGAGTAGGTGATACCATTGATTTGTTTGGATAAGCTATTTTCATTCTTTATTTAGGTCTTTGGGCCCTGAAAATCTGTTGCTGAAAGGAGCTACACTAAAAAATACCAAGAAGATATATGGTGAACACTTCTAAGATATCTTTATCAGAAATACACTTTACAAAGCCTTTAAATAAACAGTGCATGTAAAAAAATGAACGTGATAGATACTGCTATTTAATCTAAACCTATATTTAAATGTTTAGACTTTATTAGATGGTGAACTGACATGAAATATCACAGGTACTATATAGAACTTAAGTTATACAAAAAATGATATATCAACTGGTGGGTAGAAGAGGGCTTAGAATTCTCACTTTTATAGACTTAAAAAATCAGAGTTAACTGGGGATTTGGTTGACAAGTTCAGTTTTAACCTAGTTTTCATTATATTTTGTTATTCCGTAGGAGTTGCTGTTTACACTGGGATGGAAACGAAAATGGCTTTGAACTACCAAGGGAAATCTCAAAAACGGTCTGCTGTCGAAAAGTTAGTGTGCACCACAATTTCTTTACTTGTTACTGATTGAAATAGTTACTTAGTAATTCCAAACAACCATAACAAAAAATATCAATTATCAATAACTGCCATTTTGAGCATTTGCTTATATTCCAGAAACTGTCCTCTGTGATTTACATGATACAGTTTGACCCTCTGACCAACTTTGTGATGTAATTTTTATTAGCCTCTCTACTTTACAGATAAGAACATGGGCTCTTAGGTAACAAGTGAATCACCTAAGCTCACATAACTTAAAAAGCAGGCTTGATCAGCATAGCCCTGACTGTTAATGAACAACTAAATACATTATCCCTCTTAGTAGTTTTTTTTATCTGTTCTACTTAATATGACTGGTTTAGATCTGTAATTGATGCACAGTTATTCTTAAGTGTTGAAAATTAACTGAAATGTGATCCCTGTTGAACATGGTGGTGGGAATGGGAGAGGGAAGAGATGTATAATTTGGGACATGCTCAGGCTGACTTGCCCCAAGTGGTGGAGTTGGAAGCATACCAGGGGACTCCAATTCAATCCCATCGAGGTGGCATGTACCAATGCCATCTCACTGTTCCAGGTGATCAGTTTCAGTTCACAGTTGGTCATGGTGAAGGGACTGGGAGTCAAAGGGAGCACATAGACAAGTCTAGTACCTGCTAACGCTAACTGATGGAGTAAATAAAGGGGAGAGTGATCCAACATGGGAAGTGAGATACTCAGCAGACTCATAGAATGGCAGATGTCCTAAATAGCACTCTGGCCTCAGAATCAGCCCTAAAGGCATTCGGAGCTGGCTGAAAAGCTCATGAGAGTATTTCAGGCATGGAAAGCCAAGACACTCTGGCAAAAGATCTCTGCGAGTGAGATCCCAGTGGAAAGAACAGGTCATCAAAGAAGGAGGTACCTTTCTCTGAAGGGAGGAGAGAACCTCCACTTTGACTATGACCTTGTCTAAACAAGATAAGAGTCGGAGAACTCAGAGGGCTTCCATAGCCTTGGAAACTCATGACTGGAGCATAGGGAGATTACTGATGCCATAGACAGGAGTGTCAATTGGTAAAGTCAACAACAGGAGTCACTGTGCACTTACTCCTCATGTAGGATCTCTATCCTTAATGTGCTGTACATTGAGATTTAATGCTATAACGAGTACTCAAACAATATATTTCACTTTGTGTTTCTATGTGGGTGCAAGCTGTTGAAATCCTTACTTAATGCATACTAAACTGATCCTCTGTAAAAAAAAAAAAAAAAAAAGAAATTATCAATTCCCAACTTGACTCTCACTGGGATTAAACATGACAATAGGTCTGCTCTGATTTCATCATCATTTAAAAAAATCATCTATTATTTTTCACTTTATGTTTCTGTGTGGGAGCAAACTGTTGAAATCCATACTTAATGTATACTAAGCTGATCTTCTGTATATAAAGAGAACTGAAAATGAATCTTGATGTGAATGGAAGGGGAGAGGGAGTGGGAAAGGGGAGGGTTGCGGGTGGGAGGGACGGTATGGGGGGGAAGCCATTGTAATCCATAAGTCGTACTTTGGAAATTTATATGCATTAAATAAAAGTTTAAAAAAAATAAAAAATAAATAAAAAAAAAAGCAGAGTTGACTTGAACTATAATTCATTCCCTTTTATTATTGGAATTAGTGACTTTGGGTCCTCTTGTTATATGCAAGTTGGTTCTACAACCTAGATAATTGCCTCTTGGCAAATATTAAAGTGGTACCTAGTATCTGCATGAACCTCTGTCTTTCATTGTCATAGTTATCCAGAATATCAGTGGCAACCTATCCATCACGCCACTTTCAAACTATACTGAGAAGGAATCTGTGCTGAGCTTGAGGATTTCATATTTACTTCCCTGCCATCTATCTTAAACATGTAGGATTCAGAATTCAGGGAAATGGAAACAAGTTATTAGCTTTGAATAGGTAGTGAATGTGCGTGTGTGTTTGTCTTGTTACTTTACTGGAACCTTGCTAAAGGTATGTTAAGCTAGAAAACAATTGTAGCTTGGAGAACATTGGTCATCAATAAATAGTTCAACATTTGCCTTTCATTTTCTCTCTTTAGAGTTAATGCTGCAACTGTGATAACTGAGGATGCATATAATGGCTCATATTATGGTTTCATGTCATATGCATGAGAAGCTTTAGAGAACTGAATAGTTTAATTTATATCTGGTTGATGCCTTAAGTACTCAAGTAGTTTTAAATTCCACGTTATCTTCTTTTTTAGGTCCATTAATGCCTTCCTGATTGTGTATTTATTTATCTTACTTACCAAAGCTGCAGTATGCACTACTCTAAAGTATGTTTGGCAAAGTACTCCACACAATGATGAACCATGGTATAACCAAAAAACTCAGAAAGAGCGAGAGACTTTAAAGGTAATTTTTTTGTGCCTGAAAATTGTAACTCTGGAATTTTGTAATTAGGCAACCCTTTATTGAAATGTTGCTTGGAGAAATAATACCTTTTCTTAGCTTCTGAATTTTCTCTTCATTGTATGGTGGCCCCAAGTCATTAAATATTTAAGTTTTAGGTTTTTTTCCTTTTACTTCAGGCATCTATGCTTGTTTTTAACTTTTTTAGTTAAGAGCTTGAAGCAATTTGGCAAGAAATTCTGACATTTTACTATAATGTGAGTTTGTGAGATAATCATGATAGGGGAATAATGCATTCCTATATATAATTTTTGATCTGACATTCATATCTAGGGATGGAGGAAACAGAATTTAACCAAGTGAAAAGTGTAAGATAATAAGTATATCCACTGAAGGATGATGAAATTGAAGCTGTTCTTAAATTATACAGTGATAATTTTGGCTATAATGGTATAGTATGACTGGGAAGCAAAAACAGTGTTTTTAGTAATGAAATAAGATGTTAACTGTTTGTTTATATTGTACTCATCCTGTGGAACTGTTCATCTGACTCGTATGAACTTTCTTTTATTTTAGGTTTTGAAAATGTTCACTGACTTCTTATCATTTATGGTTCTGTTCAACTTTATCATTCCTGTCTCCATGTATGTCACAGTAGAAATGCAGAAATTCTTGGGCTCCTTCTTCATCTCATGGGATAAGGACTTTTATGATGAAGAAATTCATGAAGGAGCCCTGGTTAATACATCAGACCTTAATGAAGAACTTGGTCAGGTTAGAACATATTTTTACTTAAAATAAGATAGTGAAAAATACCTTTTTTGTAGTTTAGATATACTAGTATATATGTGACCAGTTCGTGTTTGGAAAAGTAATTCAGAGAGACTTGTTTCATGCAGGCATATAATGAAGGTAAGCAGTATTTACACAGCTATAGCATCAGTTCTTTTCATGCGATTTTTTAAAAGGGTGTGGTTTTTTAAAAAGGGTATGGTTTATGTATTAAATTTGAGTGTTAGAGAAATTCCCTTTGAAATTGACCATATGACATTATTAGATTCTGAGTTATTACTTTGAAGCAGGAAACATGTTATGTTTTTCACTATCCATAACCATTTGTGGATAGAATACAGAGTAGGAAATATAGCAGTTTTATTTATGGTTTTGTTCCATAACCGAAATTGACCAGGGTTGTCATATTGACATTTTTCTGGTGCATTTCTCATCACATGGAATAAAGATCTAGCAAGCAGAGTTGCTTATTCCAGTAAAGAATTTAAATGAAGGAAAAATGTGAGGACATGCACTTCTCAAAATGCTTTTTGCTTCATATTCTGATATAACCAAGACTGTGACCTTGTTTCTAATCTAGGTGCATTTATTTTCCAATGGAATGCAGCCTTGCTGTAATTTTCCAAGTGATGACTTTTTTTTATTCAAATAAATAAGTTATACACAGAGAGAAGGAGAGACAGAGAGAGAGAAGTCTTCCATCCACTGTTCACTCCCCAATTGGCCGCAATGGCCGGAGCTGTGCCGATCGGAAGCCAGGAACCAGGAGCTTACTCTGGGTCTCCCACGTGGGTGCAGGGGCCCAAGGAGTTGGGCCATCTTCTACTGCTTTCCCAGGCCATAGCAGAGAGCTGAATCAGAAGTGGAGCACCCGGGACTCAAACCAGCGCCCACATGGGATGCCGGCACTGTGGGTGGTAGCTTTACACGCTACACCACAGTGCCAGCCCCAAGTGATAACTTTTTAGGTGCTTTCATTGTCAGTATTGAGAAAGTTTTTCCTCTGTCTGAATATACTATGTGTCATATAATGCTCTTGACAAGCTGAGAAAAGTTTTGGGCTTGCATTTAATTCTCATGATATTTTGAATTTTAATGCTGCAGAAATGTCATTTGTGTGAATAGGTGATGCAAATTCAGTTAATGGAACTTTGTAGCTAAAACAGGGTCTCACACTTATTTTAACTGGTGCTTATTTGCATCTATACTTAAAAACTCTTTCTTCCTGACTTTAGCCTTCCTATCACCCCTTATCTATGGTTCTTTTCTTGACAAAGCCTTTGTGTAAACCAAAGTACCCTCTTGAGAACTGCAGTTAAAAGAGTAAAAGGACTTTCCATATATCACTTTGTTTAAACCTGCCTTAAACACCAGTATCCTACACCAAATAGTCTGTACCCCCATAGATACTGAGGCACAAAGCATCGGACAAGAAATATATAAAATTTTCTCTTAGATATTGTTTGCAGATTTGTTAGTGACTTGAGCTGCCACACCTGACAGCATTCATTTTAAACCAGAAGTTTTTATCCAGGGACAGAACTATCTGAATAGAATTTCTCTGGGACCAATAAAAGGCATCAATCTGCACAGTTTTTACTTTAGAAAAAATAATTGAGCATGTGAGCCACGCCTGGTGAACCTTTTCCTGAGAGCTCATTTAGTGACTTACTCTGGATGTTGAATGAATCTACCTGTTTTCAAATCAGTGCCTTGTTGTGTGGATTAACCAGCCCAAATATAAGCCTGGAGTTAGCCTCATGTACTATTACAAATAGAGTAGTCATCCTTTTGTATGTGGCACCTATTGTTGCTCAGAGACAGACAGGAATGCCATGTAATGAGACTCTTATCTATTTCCTTCAGATTTCTACCTCAGCAAATTGCATATTTTATCTATCTATATGGGATTGCTATCTTGTTATTATTATTTACATGGTTTTGATACTGTAGAAAATAAAGCTTTGATTAATGATGTAGTAAATTTGATCAAAGAAAAGCAGGTACAATTTTTGTTTCCATTTCCATTCTCTTCTCCCACCAAACCCTGCATTGCTGAGTATAATTTTCATGTACTCAACACATTAATAGCCAGACTGCCACATCCTATAAACAACTTGCTCTCACTATCAACTTATATGTGTAGAAACTACCTGAATGAAAATGCAAAATCTTGGAAATAGTTTATCAGACCATTTACCATTCAGTGGCCTGGTACACACAAGATTATCTGTGTAGAGTTTCCTCTTTGATGAGTCATAATTTAAGACCTAAAGGGCTTTTTATGTTTCCTAAAGGTGATTCAAATTCATTCCCACCAATACAATTACAAACCTTTGCTTAACCTCTTTAAAATGACCCAGTTGTGTTCTTTTAAAGTTATATCCAGAATAGCATTTGACATGAGATAGAAGAAAAAGTAGACTGCTTGCTTATCTCAGTTGTAAAATAATGGGATCTTTTATGATCAAACATTGATCTTTTAGATAACCAAATGATTTCAACCTATCTTTAAAAAACAATACGGGCTGGCGCTGCGGCTCACTAGGCTAATCCTCCACCTTGCGGCGCCGGCACACTGGGTTCTAGTCCCGGTCGGGGTGCTGGATTCTGTCCCTGTTGCCCCTCTTCCAGGCCAGCTCTCTGCTGTGGGCAGGGAGTGCAGTGGAGGATGGCCCAAGTGCTTGGGCCCTGCACCCGCATGGGAGACCAGGATAAATACCTGGCTCCTGCCTTCGGATCAGCGCGGTGCGCCAGCTGCAGCGCGCTGGCCGCGGCGGCCATTGGAGGGTGAACCAACGGCAAAAGGAAGACCTTTCTCACTGTCCACTCTGCCTGTCCAAAAAAAAAAAAAAAAAAGAATCAGAGTTGGAGTTAAGTAGCAATCTCTTATCTCTCCTTTAAATATGAGAATAGCTTTAAAAAAAAAAAAGATTTATTTATTTGAGAGGTAGAGCTACAGACAGAGAGAGGGGTCTTCCATCCATTGGTCCACTCCCCAAATGTCTACAACAGCCAGAGCTGTGCCAATCTGAAGCCAGTAGCTCTTCCAGGTCTTCCATGTGGGTGTAGGGGCCCAAACACTTGGACCATCTTCTACTGCTTTCCCAGCCAGGACTCAAACCAGTGCCCATATGGGACACCGACACCACAGGCAGAGGTTCAACCTACTATGCCACAGTGCCAGCCCCAAGAATAGTATTTAATATGACTAACAGCTGATCCCCTGTCTACTTTTTCAGTATATGATATATTTTAGATAAATGGTTTTGTGGGTATGTTTCTGGGACCAGCAGCATTCAACATCACATGAGAACTTAGAAGTGCAAATTATCCAGCCGCACTCCAAACCTACTGAATCAGAAACGTTAACCATTCCAACCCAGGCATCTCAGTTTCAACAAGTTCTCTTAAGTGTGTGAGATGTTTCAGTGTAGTAGATTGGTCTGTTTCTGTGAGATTCAGTGTATGCAGACTCATACTGCCCAAAATATTGTATACAGCCAAATAAATTATACTTCATCTTTTATAGCTACCACCTTTGACATTAATGGAAGAGATTCTGAATGGGATAATGCTTATCTAGGTGCAGGATGTGCAACAACCCAGTACAACCTTAAGGTGAAAATGAAGGTTAATCATTTTAATCAGAAAAAAAGCCCCAAAGAATTTTATTTTAACTGGAAATGTTTAAACAATACACAAATAATAGCACTTGGATTAATTTAAGGAGAGATTCAAACTTGGCTGGCTAGCAGGAAAAAAGTAAGATTGGAATGCAATATTTGTGCCAGTACTGCTACTGGGAAAAGCTTTGAAAAATAATTAGAAAGCAACTACTGCTAGAGTTCATCTCTTTCTCCCTTACATAATAAAAACCTTAATCTGTGCTTATGCTGTTTCCTGTCAGCCCATAATTTTAACTATTTAAGCATAAAGTGTCAAAGAGGAGGATAAAATTGTGGGTTTCCAAAAGCTAGATGCTATAAATAGATGAGATAAAAACTGAGATAAAATAGAAATGTTCAAATGCTTTATTTATTTCATAGCTTATTTTTCCATTATTTATGAAAATACTTGATGTTTGTATTCTGCCTTTATCATTATAAAATCTTTTTTAATTTGAATACTTTTTGAGGAGTACCTGAAAAATATGCATAGTATATGAAATGAAATTTCATTTATGGTTTTGATCACTGTTGACCATTGTCTACTAATTAGATATCTGTTAACATTTTAATTTTTGTTCACATATATTCTGTAATTCTTACATACATTATATGTGCAATGCCTTTTACTTCACTATTTTTATTAAAAATTATTTTTCAAGGGAAAAACAATTAGTTTGGCTTTGTTAGGTCTCAGGTGACTTACATTCCTATTTTTTTAATAGGAAATTCTGTGTGAGTGAGTGTGTGTGTGTGTTTGAGAGAGAGAGAAAAATAAGTAAACAGTATATTCTTATTTCCCACTTGTAACATTTACTTTTCTTTTGTAGTTTCTCTACATTAAAGTAGGTTATTCTGGGATTCACATTGTGGTATAGTTGGTTAGACAACTTCCTGCAATCCTCCAACACCTGCATCTCCTGTAGCACTGATTCAACTCCCAGCTGCTCCACTTCCAATTCATCTCCCTGCTAATGTGACTGGGAAAGCAGTGGAAAATGGCCCTTGCCACCCATGTGGGAGAATAAGACATAGTTTTAGGCTCCTGGCTTCATCCTGGCCCAGCCCTGGCCCGTTGTGGCCATTTGGGGAGTGAACCAGCAGATGGAAGATATCTCTTTTCTTCTCTCCCTTTCTCCCTCTCTCTCCCATTTCTTTCCCCTTACCCCTTCTCTCCCCCTCTCTTCTCTCTCTACCCCTCTCTCCTTGAAATTCTGTCTTTCAAATAAATAAATCTTTAAAATAAAATAAAATGGATTAATCTACTTAAAGTGTTAAATCGAATGTTCCTTAGTTTGATTAAATAGTCACATATTTTTCATTCTGTTAATCTTCTACAATTGATTAGTTCTACCTTAAACATGTGATGCTATTTTAAAAACACTTATTCATTTATCATTTGTTCAAAAATGTTGTCTCTGTAATACCTTAACATTTGACAAGAAGTCTTAGAAGAGTTGATTTTTATGTGGATATTGAAATAGCTCTACCACACAGCTAACTGAAAATTATTCTTACTCAAGAATTGAAAATGTATGTTTCTGTCATTGTTTTCAGGTGGATTATGTATTTACAGATAAAACCGGAACACTCACTGAAAACACAATGGAATTCATTGAGTGCTGCATAGATGGACACAAGTATAAAAGTGTAACTCAGGAAGTTGATGGATTGTCTCAAACTGATGGACCTTTAACATATTTTGACAAAGCAGATAAGGTGACATTTTCTGCATTATCATTTTACCAGACAAAACAATCTATAAGTATGTGCTAATCCTACTTTGTAGAAGTAAGGAGTTTCCTAGTTGATATATGACAAACTTGAATAGCCATTTATTTTTTCTTTTGGCTTCACCTTTCTTGTTTTGCTAATACCTCTGGAATTTGTAAACAAGTACAAAGAATTGTACAAAGGCATTTGAGTAAAACTTTCATTTGTCTATTTGTATAATCATTAATTTTTCTGCTTTGTCTTTTAAAATACAAGCTTCTCCAAAAATTATGTCTGCTTAAATCATTAAAGTCCCAGGAGTGTGTAGGTATTAAATGAACCAGTCTCCCTATGCTTGAGCTATTACTGGATTGTGAATTAGATACTGAATGGACTTTTTCAGGCCTTGAAAAAGTCACTGCTTTGGTTCACTTGCAGAACAGCCACTAGTAATGCAGTTTCTAGTGTATGCTGGCTGAGAACCAGGAACTGGGTTAGATACTAGAAGGATATAGCCTGTTTGAATATTAGGACTTTATAAGTTCTTTTTACTCAGTTTGCTGGAAACTATAAAATCTCTCACATTAGATTTTTTTTCTTTTCACTGCCTAGTTACTGAATCATCAAAGTAAAAATAATACCTTCTTCTATTGTTCCACAGAATCGAGAAGAGCTATTTCTGCGTGCCTTGTGTTTGTGTCATACTGTAGAAATTAAAACAAATGATGCTGTTGATGGAGTTACAGAGTCAGCTGAATTAACCTATATTTCCTCTTCACCAGATGAAATAGCTTTAGTGAAAGGAGCTAAAAGGTAAGCATTTTTTTGTACTTTTCCTGAAAAAATGAAATCACAGGGGAACAGAAGTTATTTTGGTCTTTCTCTGTGTGCTTCAGTAACCTTATTGTGTACATCTTTTATGATTTAATAAAAAACCTGTTTCATCTGAAAGTCTAAAAATATTCCAAAACCTAGAAACCAAACAGAAAATAACAATGCATATATAGAACTTGTCTTTCTACTTATTCATGCCAACCAGAAGTCCAGATATTCATATTATATTTTGCAAATCACATTACAGTAGCCACTTTTCATATAATACATATTATTTCTGAAGTATTCTTAGCAATTTTAACTTGAAACTGACAGTTCAGTTTTACCCTGGAGGTCTAAGATGATTAAATGGTTAAAAGGTTACCAAGTGTCTTAGCTGCAAAATTAAAATTACAAATTACTTCTCCCTTGGTTAAAATGCTTGTGACTGAACATTGACTTAACCTGTGTTATCAGTTCATCTAGGAAAGTGCAGTTACAGGTTGAGATCATATATGAAAGTAAAGAAAAGAATAAACAAGCATGAGTAGCCCCACTGCAAGGGAAAATTAATCATTCTTTAGAGATACACAAAGGTCTTTTTATTGTTTTTGATAGGTACGGGTTCACATTTTTAGGAAATCGGAATGGACTTATGAGAGTAGAGAACCAAAGAAAAGAAATAGAAGAGTAAGTACCTCTGTGTTTAATGTTTGTCACTTTCTAACCTCTTAGTCAACCTGAAATGGATACAAGAAGGGCAATAAAAGAAAATGAGGTACCTATAAATACAGGACTCTACTCTCCCAGTTTAGAGTTTTAAATTAAAGTAGTTGGAGTAGGGAAAGCTATCATTTTTTCTTCTAGAATGGTAGAAACAGGGGTTTGTGGTAGAAATTCCAATTCGGTTCACATATGGATCTAGTAGCCAGAATGAGTCTACATGGACTATTTCTGAAATTTAGATAACATTTTAGGTCTTACAACATGATTTCAAGAAAAGGAAGGGTACATGCATGAAACTTCTGCTTTCCAGAGCCCAAGCAATTACTCACGAATGCCAATAATGATAGCTTTTGTGTAAACCAGAATGTTTGTCTTACTCTAGATGTTCAGTTGTGAGCCTTAGGGCACACACTGTGATGTAGTAGTATCTTAGAATTTCCTCTTTTACTACAAAGATCCCAAGAAACAAAGCTACTTTGTCTGAATGGCAGATTTAAAAATAGACTGCGTGATTAAATTTAATTCCTTCATCTGAGCATGAAGTGTAATTATCTTTCCTGACTTCCATTCTAGCCCCTAGGCCTAGGATATTAAGTGACCTGTCACAGTCTCCTATAACATACATACATGTAGAGCTGATTTGATAATATGTCTCCTTTGGGAGAGATGTTCAAAAACCTAGAGGAAGGCTCTTTGATGTGACTGCCAAGGATCCAGAGTCAATGTCAGAGTCCAGATTCCAGCCCCACCTGCCCAACACCAAACAGTATGCCTCATGTAGATGTCTTACATAGACAACACCTCTCAAAATCAATGACCTACTCACTCTTGCCAAAAAGAAGCTAAATAGTAAATTTTCTATGTTCAATACATGTATTGAAATTGTTTATTTTCAAGTAAATATTCATATTCCCTCATATTTTTTAAAAATTTTATTTGTTATACAAGTTTTATATATTTCATATATACAGATTGAGGAGAAAAGTGGTACTTCCCTCCCTACCCCCCACACCCCCCCCCCTCAAACCCTTCCTCCCTCTCCCTTTCATATTCACATTCTTAATTTTTACCATGATCTATTTTCAGTATACTTAATGATTGTATAGTTAACCTACTCTAAGTAATAGAGTTCAACAATTAGTATGAAGAGAAAAACAAAAAACAAAACACTGTTCCTCACTGGAAGAAACAAGGGCTATAAACAATCATCGTTTCTCAAAATATCTATTTTTCTCCAATACATTACATTTCAGGTACTCTATTACTTACTTCAGATCAGGGAAAACATATGATATCTGTCTTTTTGGGACTGATTATTTCACTAAGTATAATGGTTTCCAGTTGTGACCATCTTGTTGCAAAAGACAGGATTTCATTTTTTTTACAACTGAGTAGTATTCCATGGTATGTATATACCATAATTTCTTTATCCAGTCAACAGTTGATAGACAAAAAGTATGAGGAGCATATTCCCTCATACTTTTTAAATAACTCTAATTTTAAGTCTTCTGTATCTTTTTATCTGCTTAATGATCAATTTCATCATGTCATTCCACTGTTTAAATCCTTCTTTGGCTTCCTATTGATTTTAAGATAAAACCCCAGTTTCTGAAAAGGCACATGAAGTTCTTGGTTTCCAGCCTCTGCATATCTTTCTTGATTTGTCTCTTGCTGTTCCCCTGTCAATGAGTTTTTCAAGCACTGGTAAACTGCTGAAAGTCCCCCATGGGCTATGTGTTGTTATGCTGTTGTCCATTTGCAAGTGCTCTTCCTTCTACTCAGAATGCTGTAACCACCTTTCTTCATCATATCACCTGTCCAAAACCAATCTCAAGCACAACTTCTTCCAGGAAGCCTTTCTTCATTTGGCTTCCTTCTGTGTGCTCACCCATCGCTTGTGACTGCCTTTTTAAAATTATTCCACAGACTAGAATCATGGGTTGAGCTCCTTGACAGAAGAGATTCAGACACATTCACTTCTATTTCCCAGCATGTAGCAGTGTACATGGCAAATAGTAGGCATTTAGTAGATGATGCTAAAATAATTGGAAGAATGTGACTATTTCTAGACCCTTCCAGATATGACTTAATGGAGTTCTTTGTCCTCCATTTCTATGTATTTTCTTTACTGTTTTTCAGTAATATAATAAGAGAATATGAATACCCCTTTACCAACATTTGTATTCTCTGACAACATATTCTACATGCAGAGTAATTCCAAAACAAGGAAAAGTACCAGTTGTACACACAAACATGACCATCCCCCAAAGAAAGGAGCTATCTGTACATTTAAGATGTTAAAATACTTTAAGATGTATCTTGTGTTTTCTTCATTAAGTCAAGGTATTTTACTTTTCTTATTTCTCTAAAAGGTATGAACTTCTTCACACCTTAAACTTTGATTCTGTTCGCCGACGAATGAGTGTAATTGTAAAGACTCAACGAGGTATACATCTTCGAAACTTGACTTTTTCTCTTTTTCCATTTGTAGGTTTAGATGTTGATCAACTATGGCAGGAAAGAGAAACATTTCATTTAATAGTAATAGAATTAGCTAAAGGCATGCAAAGCAATAGCATTTATTATGATTTCACATAATTATATACACACATATGTTGAATTTGTCAAATTGTCAGCAACAGAAGCGCTGGTAATGGTAGCATATACATTTCCTTGAAAATATATTTCTCTGCTCAAGATGGCCAAACAGGAACCAAAAGGGTGACTTTAGTGTGGTACGGGATATTCAGTTGTGAATACATTCAGAGGTCTTGGCTTTGCAGGGCTTAACTGTGAATATTTTCTTAGTACATGAACTGAGCCGTTGGTGACTACCAATAATGTTTCAGACAGCAGGCCAGTATACTTGGATATATGATAACAGCACCCTTCACTGTAGAGAGTTGCTAATTATTGCTCCCTGACCTCCCTAATTCACCTATTGCTTTTTTATGAATTTAACTTAATTTTTAAAGGTTTATTTCTTTGAAAGAGTTACAGAGAGGCAGAGAGAGAGAAAGAGATCTTCCATCTTCTGGTTCACTCCCCAAATGGCCGCAACGGCCGGAGCTGGCCCATTCTGAAGCCAGAAGCTAGGAGCTTCTTCTAGGTCTCCCACGTGGGTACAGGGCCCAAGCACTTGGGCCATCTTCCACTGCTTTCCCAAGCTAGAGCAGAGACCTGGATTGGAAGAGGAGCAGTTGGGTCTTGAATCGGCACCTATATGGGATGTTGGCACTGCAGGCGGTGGCTTTACCTGCTATATACCACAGTATCGGCCCCTAATTTTTGAACTTTAAATATTTTGTCACATGCACATCATATGCAGGTATTATATACATACAGATATATTCTGTTTATTTTCTTGAAAACAGGGATATTAATATCCCAAAATGTGGGATTCATGACAATGATCATAATGTGGGGAAAGAAAGCTGTATTGTTATGTATACCCCTACTGCTTTGCATTCTCTGGAAGCAGGTGAGGTAGAGATGATTCTGCTAGGCTTCTGGTAAAAGCATTCCAGTTTCACTGCAGAGTGTGGGGCTCTTTGTTTTACATGGTAAAGCTTATGCTTTGTAGGGGAGCTAGCACCATTATCCTGGGCTACCCATGTCTTTGGGAAACACCATGGTAGTTTGCCTTCTGCTTAGATCCCACAAAACCCATGAGGGTGGGACCATTTCTGCTTCATTAACAGGCTCTCAGATACGTGTGTATGCCCTGGAGATTTGTTTTCAAGATATCTTTGATTTATTTCTCAGTAATTTGCTTTTTAGTATTTGATGCGTTCATATTCCTTAATGTAAGAATGAGAGAATTCAGATAGATCCTTTGGGGAACCTACCCCAGTTTATTCATACTTTGTGGTATGAATACAAAGTAATGCAATTAATTTTAGTGTGGCCATGGAATTTGTTTTGTGACTTTTAAACACACTTTGGATGTTTGAGAGCAATTTTGAAGCATTTTAGCAATTGAAATACTCACTGCTGTTAGGTATTCACAGTCTATATTATGTTATGTGAATGATAAAGTGTCTGAGGAAATGGTCTGCAAAAGTCATTGACTTCAGAGTTACATTCTTTAATTTCTTGAATTCAGCTCTTTAGCATATAAGAAGGTCTCTTTCTCAGTGCTCAACTGTGAATATTTCCTGGGTGTAGTAACTGATCTAAAACTGCACTTGTTCTAGCATTCTATGAAGCTTTCATTAAAATGAAAGTTTCCATTAAAAAACTCTCAAGCCAGTATTTAAGAGCCAACTTGGAGGCAGGTGCTGTGATACAGCAGGTTAAGCCATAGCTTGGGATGCCCATGTTGCCTGTTGGAGTGCCTGAGATTGACTTCCTATCCAGCTTCTTGATAATGTAAACCCTGTGAAGCAGTAGATAAAACCCAAGTAATTGGGAGAGTCAGATTGAGGGCCTGGCCCAACTCCAGCCATTGTAGCTATTTGGGGAGTGAACCAGTGGATGGAAGATTCCCTCTCCTTCTCCCCCTCCCTCTCACTCTGTCTCTCTCCCTCACCCTGTCACTCTACCATTCAAATAAATTAATCTTTCAGAGAGCTAACTTGTCTAGTTTATTCAAAGCAAGTTTAGTGAGTCTGAGTTGAATTTGAATTTGCTTCTTGACGTCTATAGATTTCTTATCTGCAGTCTAGGCCAATGCTGACATTTTCAGAGAGAATTCAGATGATGCTCCTTGACACAAGGTCAGTCCTCCATGATTCACTGGGAGGAAGTATACTTTAACACAGCTGCAGGTTGTAAACTGGCTTCTTGTTCACATCCATATTGTCTGAAGAGATGGTGAATATTCTAATAGACTAAAGATCAATATTTTATTCCATTTGGGTGAGCATGTCAAGGAAGGCTCAGAATACATGGCAGCTGGATGGGAGAAGCATCTTAATAATTATATGTTATCAAAATCTCAGTAATAGTCTTAAAATGCTAAGTGAACTACCTTGGTTCTTTATTTTAGGAGATATACTTCTTTTTTGCAAAGGAGCAGATTCAGCTATTTTTCCCAGGGTGCAAAATCATGAAATTGAGTTAACCAAAGCTCACGTGGAACGTAATGCAATGGTGAGACTATATTCCTGCCCTCAAATTTAAATAAATACTTAAATAACTCTTCACTGATTGATATGGTCTTTTATATTTGGAGTGTTAAAATTATTATTTTTCTTACTTTACTATAAGATATTATCCTGGAACAATTTTCTGGTCAGAATTTATCACCATGAAAGACTTTTCAAGGTTCTTTATGAAAAGAGCTATTATTTTGTTATTCTGAACCTAATTGAATGTTACCTTTTTAGTTGCTGTCCATTTTTTTAAAGTAAAATATGTCAAAATTTATCTTTTGTCCATTTAAGGAGAGTATAGTGTTTTTCAACTGGTATTATAACTACAGATCTCCTACTTTGCTTCTAGGATGGATATCGGACACTCTGTGTAGCCTTCAAAGAAATTGCTCCAGATGATTATGAAAGGATTAACAGACAGCTCTTAGAGGCAAAAATGGCCTTACAAGACAGAGAAGAAAAAATGGAAAAGGTTTTTGATGATATTGAGACGAACATGAATTTAATTGGAGCCACTGCAGTGGAAGACAAGTAATGAGAAAATAATACTATTGTTATTTTAATGATCAGTCATTTGGAGCAGAATCTGTTCCAAATTTGAAATTTATTCTCACATTTTGAAATCATTGGTTTATCTTTGTTGTCGAATGGGCTTAAAGATTGATTTATTGTAGTATGTATGGAAAATTGTAGTTAAATGAATATAGCTTATAAAATGAATTGAGTCGGAGCAGGTATGTAGCCTGGTGTTTAAAATGCAACTTAAGTTGCCCACATCCCATAGTGGAATGCCTTGGTTTGAGTACCAACTCCATTCCTGATTCCAGCATCCTGCTAATGCACATGCTGGGAGGCAGCAGTGATGGCTTAAGGGGTGAGACCCTGCCACCAACATAGGAGACCTGGATTGAGTTCTTAGCTCCTAGCTTTGCCATTGCCCATACTTGGCTATTGCAGGCACTTGGAGAGTGAACCAGCAGATGGGAAGTCTCTCTCTCTCTCTCTGTTTCCCTGTCTTCCAATATATGAATATGAGTTAGTTATTTCTAAGCCTTTTGGATGTTTATTATGCCATCCATTTATCTGAACAAATAAGGTAAGATTTTGACAAAGATGAGCAGAAAGGAAATTTAAGTAGAACAAACACAGGAGAGCTTAATCTAATTGGCTTAACAGATTGGAGTATATTTTTACATAGTTCAGAGTTATATGCTTTGAAAATGTAGACTGATCTCTGCTAAGCATGATTGTAGGTCTCTTTTATTGATCTATTTGAAACAATTTTTAGGTACTTAATGTTTTAGCATTTTTTAAGAATTATAAATGTAAATTGTAAGACTTAACCAAATAAAGTTACAAACAACTACGTTGGAAGGGATTGAAAATCTAATGATATTCATTTTGTCTTAATTTTATTGTTATTTTCTGAGCAAAAGGAACCAAAAGAAAGTATCATTCTTCTATACTTAAATTCTCATTCAGGCTGTATAGCCTTTCTAATTCTTTTTTTGTAAAAGTTTTTTTGAAAGGCAGAGCGCTAGAGAGGAGAAAGATTGAGGTGTTCCATCAACTGATTCATTCCCCAAATGGCTACAACAACCAGGGCTGGGCCAGGCTAAAATCAGAAGCCAGGAACTCCACCTGGGTCTCCCATGGGGGTGGCAGGGACCCAAGCACTTAGGCTAATATCCACTGCTTTCCCAGGTGCATTAGCAGGAAGTTAAATCAGAAGCAGAGGAACCAAGACTCGAATCAGCGCTCTGATATGATTTGCTGGGATCACAAGCAGTGGCTTATCCACTGATCCACAACCCAAGTCCCAGTCTTTCTGTTCTTAAAGCTCCTCAGGGAAGCGGATTTTCTGATTTACCCTAAAATATACCTGGTTAAAACGTGTTTGACCATTTCTATTTTGAACCATGCCATGTTAACATTTTTAGGGTGTGATACAACATAGAAGGAAATATGCTAAAGAGATCAAATACAAAAGTTTGGTGGGTTTCTGGCCATTTTAGCTGCAATTCTGCCCTTGGCTATCACTTACCTTAAGAAATACCAGAGGGGCTGGCAATATGGGCTAGTGGGTAAAGTAGCCGCCTGTAGTGCCAGCATCCTGTACGGTCATCTGTTTGAGTCCCAGCTGCTCCATTTCGGATCCAGCTCTCTGCTATGGCCTGGGAAAGATGTGCCAAGTCCTCGGGGCTCTGCACCCACATGGGAGACATGGAAGAAGCTCCTGGCTCCTGGCTTCTCGATTGGCGCAGCTCTTGCCCTTGCAGCCAGTTAGAGAGTGGACCGGTAGATGGAAGACCTCTCTCTTTCTGCCTCTCTTCTGCGTAACTCTGACTTTCAAATAAATAAATAAATCTTTTAAAAAAAAGAAACATCAGAAACGTCTCTGAACTTTGTTTGAAATTCACTTTAATAAGTGAAACTGTGCTAGAGACAACACTCTCAGAAGGAGTAAGAGATACATAAGAAAACCAACTGTGATAAGATGTCAGAACTGTATAATTAGTGGAATTGTAAAACTACTCTCTTTGACAAGGCTTCTTTCAGAATCTCTGTTGAGAATTTTCTAGAATATTGAGGTTTCCTTTGTGTTCCTAGGCTTCAAGATCAAGCTGCCGAGACCATTGAAGCTCTGCATGCAGCAGGCCTGAAAGTCTGGGTGCTAACTGGAGACAAGATGGAGACAGCAAAATCCACATGCTATGCCTGCCGCCTTTTTCAAACCAGTACTGAGCTCTTGGAACTAACCACAAAAACCATTGAAGAAAGTGAAAGGAAGGAAGATCGATTACATGAATTGTTGATAGAATATCGTAAGAAGTTGCTGCATGAATTTCCTAAAAGTACTAGAAGCCTTAAAAAGTAAGGAAGTACATTGTTTTTTATTTATTTATTTGAAAGTCAGAGTTACACAGAGAGAGAAGGAAAGGAAAAGAGAGAGAGAGAGAGAGCCAGCACATTGTTTCTTATGTTTACACATGGGTATAGATTTAAATAATGACTGCTTATGTAGGAAGGCACCATTTTCTGTAATTTATCATTCTTTGTTTGCAGGTATTCTTTCCTTGTAACTGAAAGCCTTCCATGAGGACTTGGCTAATGGCCCATTTGAGATTATTTGGTACTTTTCCCCTCTCTTTTAACATAAAAGACAAATTCTACACTTCTTAAGGTTTAGAAAAATGGCTCAATTTCCAAATGTTTAGAAATTAGTCTGGGTATTCAATATTGATATTCTGGTCTGATCCATGTTAAGAAAAAACATATTTGTTTATAGTCTTTTAAATTGAATATAATAAAGCTAATCTCTTTAACAGCTTCCAAGCTTTTTGAGGTGCTAGAGCCCTTTCTGTCTGTATTTTCATGCCCCATAACCCCAAAGGATCCACTTACTATCTAACCTGGCCACTGATCAATAATAATTCGATTCCTAGAGGTATATTTTCTTTTCTTTTTTTGAAGATTTATTTATTTGAAAGAGTTACATAGAGAGAGAAGAGGGAGAGATAAAGAGAGGTCTTCCATCCGCTGGTTCACTCCCCAATTGGCCACAAGGGCCGGAGCTATGCGGATCCGAAGCCAGGAACCAGGAGCTTTTTCCAGGTCTCCCACGTGGGTGCAGGAACCCAAGGACCTGGGCCATCTTCTGCTGCTTTCCCAGGCCATAGCAGAGAGCTGGATCAGAAGTAGAGCAGCCAGGTGTCGAACCAGCACCCGTATGGGATGCTGGCACTGTAGCCAGCAGCTTTACCCGCTGTACCACAGTGCGGGCCCCCTAGAGGTATATTTTCCAAACTTCTCATTGGCCAGGACTCAGCTTGATCTAAACTAGTTACTTGGATTTATCTTGGTTGTAAACAAATAAATTTTATTCTCTAGAAGGCCACCAGATGTACCTACAGTAAATCCAGAGACCCCTAACTAAAATGTTTTCCATTTCTTGAGAACACTTTGTTCCAGGAACAATGTTAAGTGCTTTGTATGATTACTGTCATTTAATCTTCATTAGGCAATCTTACTGTCTTCATCTTACAGACAGGGAAGCCGAGACTCAAAGGAACAAACTAACCTGCTTAAGATCATATAGCTCATAAGGGGTTGATCAAGTCTCTCCAGTACCAGATCCCATGCTTTTAACATCTGGATCTTCATCTGTGGTGTATAGACAAGATTTCAAATGTAATAGCCCCAGATGTAAGTCTATGACCAATTCTAAAATAGCTGTTGTTCTTCTGGTACTTGGATATCAGTGGGAATAAACAGATTTTTGTTAATTGCCTATAAGAAATTTCACATTATCTTAGTCAAATAGTACTTATAAAGACATCCAAGTTAAATGCATTTTACGTGCCCTCTTCTCTTAGTCTGCTTGGTTTCCCATAGAAAATTATAAATGGGTGGCTTAAACAAAATAAATTTATTTTTCATAGTTCTAAATGTTGAACTTTGTGATCTATGTGAGGGTTGGCTGTCTTCTCCCTTTGTTCTCATATGGCAGAGAGCTCTGGAGTCTCTTACTCTTTGAAGCCAATAATCCCCATCATGGGGGCCTTACCTTCATGAACTCATTTAGCCCTATTTCCAAATGCTGTCATATTGTGGTTAGGCCTTTAACATAAGAATTTTAAGAAGATAAAATTCAGTTCATGATGGCATTCATCAGCTCTGAGGTATACACCATCACTGTCTCTAATCATCCCTTCCTTCTAGTTATCTGTTTGGAGTCAGGCAGTCTTTCCGTCAGTAATACCGCCTTCAGATCCAGAATCACCTTTGCCAGCTGCTGCTTCTCTTTTGCTCCTTCACTTCCAATCAGCCTTCTGGCTTTATCCATGCTCCCATCTGAGCACTAGTGCCCCGCATCAGAGACCTAACACCTCATGTCTTGAATCTCTTAAGCCTCACAGCCAGAGGAATGATCTTTAGCTAATATATAGAATATAAAAATGTAATGTATATGAGTGAAATTGACACTTTAAGATTTGATTTATAGCCCTTGTCTATACTCCTGAAGCACACTGGTCTTTCTACTTAATATTTGTTGAAGTCTTTATTTAGTAGAAGATTAAGATTGTGATTATAAAGTAAATTGAAAGCATGTTATTGCAGAAATTAAGAGGAAAGAGGGAGGGTGGAAATATTATTATGTTCTTAAAGCTATATGAAATACATGAAATCTTTTCTTTTTATACAAATAAATAAAAACAAATAAATAAAAGTTGGGGGTGGGGAGTAAAGCATGTCCACATCACAATCCTACTCAGAGACCTTTAGTGGTGCTCCATTACCAATAGACTCAGGTCTTAGCAAAGGCCTCAAAATTTTCCTTTTTTTTTTTTTTCAGCAATACACAATGAGTTTATGAAACTCAATTTTCTTCTAGTCTGTAATCTAAGAAAGTGAAAAGTGTCTTTCAAAATTGCACCATACATTGCATGTGTCAATTGTAGTACATTATAACAGAAATGAATACAGTACAGATTTCTCTCATTTTCACATGTAAATTTTGCACCAACTAATATAATCCCAACTACTTTTGGTGACCAAACAAGAAAATTCATATCCAAAATCAATTCCAGCACTGGTGACACCAATATTTTAGGGAAAAACAATTGCATTAACATATAAATTCAGTTGTTACATACATGTAATACATAATATTCCTCCATAAATGAATGTTTCCTATAAATTAAACTAAGCAATATTAAAACAAACCTCTCTAACATTTTATACACATTTGCTGCTGTTGCATAATGTGAGAACAAAAGAAGCACAAATTTCCTCTGCCGGAGGAGAAGTTCATGAGGTCAGGAGAGCCTACTGAGCAGTTAGTGTGGGCATCCCAACCCTTGACAATAAATTTGGTTCCTGTAAGACTGACATTCTCATGTGTTCCGTATGGTCTTTTTTTTTTAACTTTTATTTAATGAATATAAATTTCCAAAGTACGGCTTATGGATTACAATGGCTTCCCCCCCATAACGTCCCTCCCACCCCCAACCCTCCCCTTTCCCATTCCCTCTCCCCTTCCATTCACATGAGGATTCATTTTCGATTCTCTTTATATACATTCAAAGAAGGAGGTACCTTTCTCTGAAGGGAGGAGAGAACCTCCACTTTGACTATGACCTTGTCTAAACAAGATAAGAGTCGGAGAACTCAAGGGGCTTCCATAGCCTTGGAAACGCATCACTGGTGCATAGGGAGATTACTGATGCCATAGACAGGAGTGTCAATTTGTAAAGTCAACAACAGGAGTCACTGTGCACTTACTCCTCATGTAGGATCTCTATCCTTAATGTGCTGTACATTGAGGCTTAATGCTATAACGAGTACTCAAACAGTATATTTCACTTTGTGTTTCTATGGGGGTGCAAACTGTTGAAATCTTTACTTAATGTATACTAAACTGATCTTCTGTTAAAAAAAAAAAGAAGAAATTATCAATTCCCAACTTGACTCTCACTGGGATTAAACATGACAATAGGTCTGATCTGATTTCATCATCATTTAAAAAATCATCTATTATTTTTCACCTTATGTTTCTGTGTGGGAGCAAACTTGAAATCTTTACTTAATGTATGCTAAACTGATCTTCTGTATATAAAGAGAATCGAAAATTTTCCTTTTTTTTAAAAAAAAAGTGTATTTATTTATTTGAAAGTCAGAGACAGAGATATCTTTCATCCGCTGATTTACTCCCAAATAGCTGCAATGGCCAGAGCTGGGGTGGTCCAAAGCTGGGAGTCAGGAGCTTCTAGGTCTCCCACGTGGGTGGCAGGGGCCCAAGTGCTTGCAGCATCCTCCATTGCTTTCCCAGGCTTATTATTTGGGAGCTGAATCAGAGATTCAGCAGCTGGGACACAAACCAGTGCTCATATGAGATGCCAGCATTGCAGACAGTGCCTTAAACAGCTGTACCACAATGCCAGGACCTCAAGTGATATTTTAAACTTGCCAGTATATAATTTTCTCCCTTTACCTCTTTCTGCCATTTCAAGTCTCACTGTAGAAACCTCATATCACAGGGAAACCACTGTTCTTTTGTGTGTGGATTTTTCGACTCAGTAACTGGGCATTAACCATTTATTATTATGTTATTTGCTTGAATACATACCCTCATGTATGCTTCTATCACCCAAGAAGGTTTTTTATTTTCCAAAGAAAGATTAGTCTTATAGTCAATAAATCTTTGTACTGTATGTGGCCTGCTTAGAATTAGTGTTTACAAATATTGCTTGATTGATTATTGAGCTGCTGTTTTCTGCCTATTGTGTCAGCTCTATGAGCAGGGGAGAAGAAAAGACATGATTGATGTTCCTTTAATTAGTGAATAAGACTTGCTCATAAAATGATGAAGCAAAATATTAAAAAGTACAAATATTATGATATTAGCAATACATACCAAAAAGTACAGAATAAAGGAACAACAAGTTATATTAGGCCCCCTCTATTCTACATTTGATCCATGAAACAATAGCTCCGTTGTCACCAGGAAACTGGTGAAATGCAAAATCTTGTGTCCTACCCCAGAACTACAGAATCCAAATCAGTATTTGGATCAGCATTGTAGCAATATCCCCAAGTGATACCTTTGCATATTAAACTTTCAAAAGCATTATGTTAGACAGTCTATCTATAACTGTAAGATCTTGTTATGTCTAATGCTTCCATTGCAGTGGTTCTCAAATGGCACATGAGATTCCCTGAACAAAAATTGAATAATCACTGACTTTTTATGATGGCAAAAATAAAATGTTAATTTTGGTAGAATTTTTTCAGTTGTATGTTTTCTTCTATGTGTTTTCCTTAAATACTTGGTCTCTATTACATTCATGTTTCCTGGCATGTAATATGTCTTAGTCTTAGCTATGTATTAGAACTACCTATACCTATATATGACCATTCTCTTCCCAGGATACTTTGATTTAATTGGTCCGGGGATAGATCTAGGGCATGGGCAACTTCTTTATATCTACCCATATGTGTGTAATGGAAAGGGTAGTGTTGAAAACCACTAAGCTATTATAAAATGGCAATTATTTAAGGAATATATATCATTGTTTCATGACATTCTTTAATGAATACTATATCTTTAACATATTCTGTCATATTTGAGAAACTATATTCTTATGTATAATTTTTGTCACTCAGGCAAAGAGACTAGGTTTCCTATGACTTTTTTTATCCAAAAGCCATTTTGTCTTTTCTGTTGTTGTTGTTAGAGGGGTTTCAGATAACTGATGACTTTTCTTTATATCATAGCTTGACTGATCTATAATTCCCAAAATTTGCCTTCTATTTCTTCTACAAAGTTAGGCTGCTCAACCTCCTTTATTTTTTAAAAGGTTTTATTTATTTGAGAGGTGGAGTTACAGAGAGAGAGAGAGAGAGAGAGAGAGAGGAAGACAGAGAGAAAGGTCTTCCATCTGCTGGTTCACTCCTCAAATGGCCACAATGGTGGGAGCTAGGCCAATCCAAAGCCAGGAACCAGGAGCTTGCCCCAGGTCTGCCACACAGGTGCAGGGGTCCAAGGACTTGGGCCATCCTCCACTACTTTCCCAGGGCATAAGCAGAGAGCTGGATCAGAAGAGGAGCAGCTGGGACACGAACTGGTGCCCATATGGGATGCCAGTGCCACAGGTAGAGTCTCAGCCTACTGTGCCCACAGTGCTGGCCCCAGTCTCCTTAATTTTTATATCTTTTAGAACTTATATCACCCATATGGGCAGCTTAAATCTCAAAGATGTGTTTAGAAGTCATTATTAGGCCATAATTAGAAATAGTTGATTATGTAGAATAAACATGTCAGTAAACCAGATGGATGATTTGTCTTTTCTGGGACACTCCCTTTTATGTTTAAAAAATGAGGCTCCTAAATAGAAATGTGTAATAAATTCAGACACAGCATTGTTTTTCTTTTCCAGAGCATGGACAGAACATCAGGAATATGGATTAATTATTGATGGCTCCACATTGTCACTTATCCTAAATTCTAGTCAAGATTCTGGTTCAAACAATTATAAAAGCATTTTTCTACAAATTTGCATGAAGTGTACCGCAGTGCTATGCTGCCGGATGGCACCATTACAAAAAGCCCAGGTAACTGAATTTTAGGTAACATTCTATTATAAGTCCTTCTGTACTTATATATACCTGTGTTTCAGTTAGTTTCTTCTTCAAAGAGCCATTATTACCATCAAATTTCTTTTGCCCTGGCTTTTTCCTTTTTATGATAAAACCCAGTAGTCTTCCCCTGAATTGAATTAAGCCTGTGCTGTACCTTGTTTTCCCCTCAAGTTAGTTGTCCAGTTCCTCATCTTCTAGGCTTCTCTGCTGACTGATTGGTGCCTGCTGCCTCCCTCCATTCCAGTGCTCCTGGCTCCTCTATGATATTAGCACCATGCATTCTTTCTGTTCTCAATCTGTTGTCTTACCTACAGGCAAGGTTGACCCAGTGCTTGGTGCTATTTTCCATTCCCTTCCTGAGTTCTCCTCTTTTAGTTGACACTATCAATTATGTCTCCTTAAAATTCTCTTTCCTTGGTTTCTGTGATGTTCCACAGTCCTGATATTCTTCCCTCTTTGGCAACCTAGTGTCTTCATATTACCTTCTGTATTCTCTCTAATTATCAGTTTTCTTTAGGGTGAAGTCTTCTCTCTCCTTTTTACTTTATGGACTATGTCTCTGGATAAGCACATCCATTTCTCTGGCTTCCATTGAGTTAACTCTGGCTCTGACCTGTTCTTAATGTTATGTCTCCTATTTCTAGCTGTCTGCTAGACATCTCCATATAGATTCCACACTGTCACATTAAATTCTAGTATTTAAGCATAATTTTCCTACTGAGTTTGCTTTTCCTTTGTCTTACATTATTCCTGCTACTACTATTTTTCTTTTGTTTCCTAAGTCTTATTTTACCTTTTATTCTTCTTTCCCTATATGTCCTGTTGATCTTATCTACCATTGTCATGGCTGTCATTTTAGTTCTATCTTTTGAAACTTTTTACTACCACCCTAGTCCAAACTCTAGTGTCATTATACACAGACTATTTGGTTTAATCTCACTGATGTCTTTACTGTCATCCTTTTCCTTTAATCTGTTTCCCCATACTCCCAAATTAATCTGGTTAAAACACTACTCTTTCCATCATAAATTCTTTGTCAAACACTTTCAGTGATTTCATAATTGCTTAGGATAAAGGGCAGTTGGCATCTGGGGCTCACCTCTATTGTCTTCTCATATATCTTTACATACCACATACTTTGTATCCATTATCACTCCCTTGTCCAACACACATTCTCCAGTTACATTGATTAAATCTTCATTGTTGGCCGGCGCCGTGGCTCAATAGGCTAATCCTCTGCCTTGTGGTGCTGGCACACCGGGTTCTAGTCCCCGGTCAGGGCGCCGGATTCTGTCCCAGTTGCCCCTCTTCCAGGCCAGCTCTCTGTTGTGGCCCGGGAGTGCAGTGGAGGATGGCCCAAGTGCTTGGGCCCTGTACCCCATGGGAGACCAGGAGAAGTACCTGGCTCTTGCCTTCGGTTCAGCACGGTGCCCCGGCTGCAGCGCGGCGACCATTGGAGGGTGAACCAACGGCAAAGGAAGACCTTTCTCTCTGTCTCTCTCTCTCTCTCTCTCACTGTCCACTCTGCCTGTCAAAAAAAAAATCTTCATTGTCTTACTTCCATATACTGTACTAAGGACAACTTTAAATTTTTTTCTCATTTTGTTTTGCCCTCTGAAACTCTCCCTGAATTCTTCTGCCCTAACATGGAGTTTACTCATAATAAAATACAACTCAAGCACCACCTCTTCTAAGCTGCCTTTCCAGCTCCTCAGTCCAGGGTCATCTGCCTTACCTTGTTGCTTTTAACTCAGTTACATACTTTTTCAGTTACATACTTTTTCACTTTCGTATATACTTTGTAGGATATTCTTTTATGTGGGTTAGTCTTGCTTCTTTAGATTCTTCAGCTACTTGCCCCAGACTAGGGGATGGCTGCCACACACACAAAGCTTAGATTAGTCAGGACATTGCCTCTGTCTCCTTTCCAGCTCGCAGTTCCTACTTTAATTAGAGTCTGTTCTTTCTTTTTGTCAACCTTCAAAACCTCGGTTATCTCCAACTGGGAAATCAGATCCAATCAGAATAGTATCCATAGGAATCAGTCCACTTGGACTGGTGTTGTGGCGTAGCAGGTTTAATTGCCACTTGCAATGCCAACATCCCATATTGGAGTACCAGTTCTAGTCCCATCTGCTCAGTTTCCAATCCAACTTCCTGCAGTTGCACCTGGGAAGGCAGTGGAAGATATCTCAAGTGCTTGACCCCTGCCTTCTATGTAGAAGACACAGGTGGAGTTCCCGGCTCCTGGCTTCACCATGACCCAGCTCTGATTGTTGTGTCCATCTGGGGAGTGAACAAGTGGATGGAAGATATCTCTCTCTCTCGCTCTCGCTCACATTCACTCTCTCACTCACTCTCATGCTCATGCTTACTCTCTCACTGTGTCACTTCACCATTCAGATAAATAAATCTTTAAAGGAAATGAAATGAGATGTATCCTTTTAGTCAGAGGCTTGCCTCCAGATCTCTCTTTTTTTCCCCCTTATATTCATTTTCTGCTGCTTACATTGTTCACCAGGGTTCTTTTTATTTTTGTTATTTTATTTTTAAACTTTTTAAAAAAGATTTATTTTTTGACAGCCAGAGTTACAGAGAGAGAGAGAGAGAGAGAGAGAGAGAATATCTTCTATCCACTGGTTCACTCCCCAAATGGCCACAACAGCCAGTGTTTGGCCAGACTGAAGCCAGGAACCAGGAGCTTTTTCCAGATCTCTCACCTGGGTACAAGGAATCAAACACTTGGGCCTTCCTCTGCCACTTTCCCAGGCCATAGCAGGGAGCTGGATTGGAAATGGAGCAGCTGGGACTTGAACAGCACCCATATAGGATGGTGGTGCCACAGTACCGACCCCCACCAGGATTCTAACTACTCCACTGTCCAGGCAGATTCCTGATTTACATGCTACTTCTCCGTGTAGAATATAGCATCCCTGTGGTTCAATACACTGTTTTATTTCTCTCACTTTAGTCATTTCTCCCAGTATGTCACCTACTCATCTGTCCATTTAGGTGATGTACAAGTCACTATCTCCAGTCCAGATATTTTGGGTTCTACTTAAGCTGCTTCCAACCCATCATCTTGGCTATGTCATTATCACCCCAACTTTATCTTCTATATAGTCCAGCCGTCATTTTCCTTGGTGTCTTATTTCTGTTACTGAGCTCACTATGCCTCCAGGTTTCTAGGTTCAAAACCTTGAAATCTGTATTGATTTCCCCCATGCTTTCCTCTTCCATATAGTATCAGTCACCAAATTCTTTTTTCTAGTACGTTGTCTTTTCCTTTCTTTTCATAATCTTCCAGGGCTAGGAATTTACTAGCTTGTTGAATTACACCCGGTAACTAGCCACCAAACCTCCCTCTCTGTCCATAGTACTAGCTTTCCTCCAGTTATTCCTGTTCTCTGATGCCACTTGCATAATGTCACTCCTTGTTGATTTCAAGAGAGTTTATTTTGGTGCAAGACAAACTGAATTCCATGAATATGAGGGATCTTCAGAAGTTCACAAAAAAGCATATTTTGAAAAAACTATGCCTGAGTTTCAAAAAAATTTATACCAAAATAAGCTTATCTTTTAATGTTTATAAAAACTTTTGAAGTACCCTCAGACATGAAAAATCATTAATCTGCTCAAATCAGATCTACTTTATGAGTAGACAGTACATTCCTGGCTGTTTTCCTTTTAATGTCTTTCCCTTCATCTGGAATATTCCTTTCTTCCCCATCCATGGAAACCTTACTACTATTTCATCATTTATACCCATCATCCTTCTACATAATCATTCCTCATCAGTCTGGCATATAGTAGCCTCTCCTCTGACATGATAGGCTTTCCTAAGTGGATGATTTAGATGACAATGTTATGCACTCCTGCCCAATAATACATTTTGTTTTCTGTATTGTTCTAGTTGCCTAATATTCTTTTATTGATGATTTGTCTCTATTTTTTCATTATGTTTCTTAAGGTGTATGAACCAAGCCTTTTTTGGATCTTAGCACACTGCTTTCCACAGTGTATTGCATGCATTTATAGTTTGTGAATGAATACTTCTTTGAAAAATCTTTCCTTTTTCGTGAAAACTGAGCTAGTGATTGGAGAGAAGCTTTTAGTTTCAGTGACTTGGGACTCAGTGAAAAACTCCATGTTTATCTAAATTTTCCATGGTTTTACAGGATGAGTTTTAAATCTTTTAAAATCTATGTTTTCCTATGGAAGCTGTATCCTTGATAATTTTGTCCTCCCTAGGTCTTCTCTGGCTGCACTTCTTTTTCCTGGAGGTTCAGATCATTACTGCATACAATGCAACAGGTGCTATTTAGTTAACCAGTGTTGTAGCCCATAAAAAACATTAAGTTTGAGTTCTTTAATTTTTTTCTACTCTTTTCCCCTTACAGGTTATTTCCGACAGTCTCATACATTTTTTTTTTAAGAAGAACTGAATTAAAGGGAAAGATTGGGGGGAAAACTGACATTTCATGGTCATATCAATTTTGTTTTAAATGGAATTGGATGTGGATTTTTTTCTGTGTCACTTAATACAACTAAAACCTGCCTGAGTTTTGTTTAAAGGACAGACCACATGGTGCCTTGACCTTGTATAAATTACTTTTAATCACTTCAGTGATGTTGAAATGGATTTCGCTTATGTTAACTGCTCAGAGCAATTGTGAGAACAGAATTTGTGCAAAAATATTTATCTACTGAATTATTTAAGCTTTTTCAAGGCTGCTAGAATCCAGAGGGTTTTGAGGTATGGCACATAAAGCATTGATTATCTGAAATATAAGGTGAGAATGTAGCTGCTTACCCAATACAATTTCTATGAGTACCTTTCTCAGCAGAAGGAAAAACAGAAGTGTCTTCACACTAAGGCTGAACATTTTATTCATTACTTGCTGTGAACTGTGTGTACATAGCTACACAGTATCACTTACTTGTCTTGAAGAGACACTTGGAATAGTAGCAGGCTTTTTTTTTTTTTTTTTTTTTCTTTTTCTTTTTTTTTAAACTTTTATTTAATGAAGATAAATTTCCAAAGTACAGCTTATGGATTACAATGGCTTCCCACCCAAAACGTCCCTCCCACCCAAAACCCTTCCGTTTCCAACTCTCTTTCCCCCTTCATATCGAAACAAGTTTCATTTACAGTTTCTGTTTATCTCCAAATTCATCTCTTTGGGCTTATTAAAGTAAAGGCTTCCAACAAACTCTGATTATCTAATGAATCCCAGCCTGTGACTTCTCTGCCTGACCCATTGATTTCCTTTTGCTAAAACTGAAGAATTCGTCCTGCTATTATTTTGAGAAGAACTTCTGTTTTTAAGCAAACGAAACCTTAGCTTGTCCCTTAAATATCAAAACAGGTGGCGTTTTTTGTTGAGATGTTAATCTTGCTAAGACTTCTAATTTATGAAATAAATTTCCCTTTTTGCGAATATTGTTTGGATGTGCATCCCTTCATGCATTACGTGCCAGTTTAACACCTGCACATTAACTATATC